TTTAATTTTATGTCTTATAGGGTTTATACTGAGTACAATATTGTATAACTGTAATAATTAAACTGTAAACCTAAAAATGTACAACCAATTTTGTAAGAGATGCATCCTAGCTCAGAAAATTATTATTGAATATGTCAATTCTGATGTAATGAAATGATGCTTCTAAGTATGTGGTTATTAAATAAATAATTAAACAACAACAACAACAACAACAACAACAAAAAACTCCAGCAAGTATACCATACAAGAAGTTAAAACTCAAAGTAATCCCTTTTGGAAACAGGTCCAAACTATGCTAAAATTTAAAATCCCACTGTGGAGATCTGGCATTACTCCCTTAGTCTTGCCATAAAAATGCACAGACCTTATTACAGGGCAATCTAGACTGTTAGAATCTCTTCTTTTTCTATGATCCTATCAAGAATCCAAGGTGAAAACCAAAACAAAAATAAATTGCAAGAGGATTAGGCATATAATTAAATGTCTGCAGTTCAGGGAATTCCTAGGTTATCATGAACCCATAGGTATTGGCAGTACCAGTAATTTTCTGGGTATCACCATTTTGAATTATGCCACCTGGTTTTTTTCAATTACGATGGTGGCAAGGTCACACAAGTCACTGCCATTTTGAAAATGTTACTGTCCAGGATGGCAACCAAGCCATGTGTCTGTCCCATATTGATGATGTCATCAACCAAGATGGAGACCCGATCACATGGTTGCTTCCTTCCTGGTGAAGTCACCAGCCACAATGATGACCAAGCCACATGGCTACCTTAGTGAGCTCAGGTCCAACCTTATATAATAAGCCCAACCCCCACCAGGATAGAAGCCCTATGGGATTCACATGCCTCACAGATTAAATGTGGACAGCAATCCTTTTTTACTTTTAGAAAGCACCAAGTTAGACTTAATATAGGAGGATAAAGTACCTTCAGATATACAGGCCCCACATAGAAAAGCAAAGCAAAGGAATCCATGGTCTCCAACCAAAGGAGGTAGTCCATGTTTCTCACTACCCACTGCAGCTGTAAAGGCGAAGCAATGTCCTCTGAACCTCTTCATTCCTAGATACAAACTGTTGCTGGAAAAGAAACTCATGAAGGCAGTAGAAAAACTGGGGAGCTATGCCCAGCACATATCCCATTGGGTTGTTGCTCTGAGAGCTTATGTCTGGCCAGAGCACAGTGTATGACTTCCTCCTTTCTTACAGAAATTCAAAATGCTTAGATCTAGTTAGAAAAGCAGCTGCCTCGGGACCTCACGGTCTGAGCACTGCTTGTTTGGTGCCCAACAGGGCCTGAGGTCCAAATGCCAAGCCACTATGCCTGAGAAAAAGTTCAGGAAACAAATGGCTTTTAAAACCTTTTTTTTTTTTCCTTTTGTCTAGGAGGCAAAGGGGCTTGCCACCTTAAATGCCCCGAGGCAAGATAGCAAGATAGATACGGAAGTTCACCTGTTTAGGAGCATCAGTGGACCTGAAAATCTCTGCATAACCACTAAATAAGTGAGTTATTAGAATTTGGGGGGGATCCCTTCATGGTTGCCAATATGAAAAAGGGAGAAAGAGGGTCCCCTAGAGGGTTCTTCGTCTCATAAAAGAACTTAAGAATGGACCCAATGGAAGGTTTTACAATTTTATTAGAATTTTAAGAAAAGTCCTCAGGGCAGGTGAGCTGGTAATCTTGGCAGCTGCCTTGAGGAGGAGCATGGTTGAGAAGGAAACAAAGCCATGAAGCCATGCAGGTTTAGAGCCTGCACTGGGCTCAGACCCGGGGCTGACTGGCAGCCACAGGGTTGGGAGAAAGAAGCCTTGGAGAAAACGTAAAGTAGTACAAGATGCTGGGACAGCCCAAAGCCTTAAAGAAGCATGTTTAGAAAGAAAGCCAAGAAGGAAAGGAGATACGCTTGCTTTTCTGAACAATTCAGAAAAGCAGGCAAACTTACAGACTACATGACTGTGGCTGGTCCAGAAGTTCTGCTGGTATTACACTAGTTTAAAATAAGTTAATTTATTAAAGCTTTTCTTTATTATCAAAGTCCCAGAATAAAAATTGAATTAATTGGAATTAATGTACAACTCAATTCTGATCTCCCTCTTTGCAATGAGTGGACGGACAGTGATCGTGGGGTGGCGCTTTGTTTGGACTTCATTTCTCTTTTGACAAATGTTCTGTTCAAATTTTCTGTCCTTTACAGAATTGGTCAGAGTGTATCTTCTTTAAAACTAACCATCGCATTTGGTCATTTATGAGCAGAACCATCAGGTTTGCCTCACCCATCCCCTCATTTCTAGCAGGACATTTACAATTCTCCCATTTGTTTAGCTTTTCTATACAACTATTTTTGTAGCAAAATCCAATGCTCAGGTTTGTTATTTTTCCTTAACTAATTTATTTCCTACCAATTCGTTATTTCTTGTTTTTCTAACAACAGTATGTTGATCATATTTTCATTGTTTTGTATTAGAATTGTTTAGACAGTGGGAAATGAGGAATTGAGACAAGTTTATGAAAACTTTCGAGGTTTGGCTATGATGGGTAAACAGGTACACCCTTAAACCAAAAAACTTTTTAAAGACTGATAGGGTCACAACATATTTGTACACTGATGAAATCATTTGGTACAAAGGTAGGCCTAAAATTATGCAGGAGAGGGGCTAGAGTTGGCCCAGTGGTTAAGGGTATTGGCTGTTCTGGTAGAGGACCCAAGTTCGATTCCCAGCACCACATGGCAGCTAACAACAACCTTTTGTAACTTCAGTTCCAGGGGATCCAATGCCCTCTTCTGATTTCTGTGGACATTGCACGACATGGGTGAACTTACATACATGTAGGCAATACATTCATACACACGAACTAACTGCTGCAGGAGAAAGTCCTTAAATAGGCAGCATGTGTGAAGTGATTGTGGTTAATCCAGAAATCCTGCAGCAGTTACCCATCCTCTGCAAATGTCTCCTGTCTGTTAACGGCCACACCTTGAGGTACATGGCTAGAGGAGGAATGAGTGCAGGTGGCATAGCCGGGGGGGGGGGGGGAGCAGCATTTATGGCTTGAGTATAGATAGTGGCATGGGCAGAGTAAGAGACTTAGCTTGACTCTGGTTGGTATTTTGTGAAAAAGGTGAGAAAGGGGAAAACACGAAAGTCTGCCTAAAAACCCAGGTTTCATGATTACACATGCCTAAACAGTGCAGGCCGGCACAAAGCACAATTTAATAACACTCCTTAGAATCAATACCCGGGCCCAACTTAAACACAACAGTCCAAGCCTAGGCAGGATGGCAGGGACTTGCTCCTCCGTGTTCGTCACCCTTGTGGGCTGGGTACACGACCCCCTTTGATCTTTCTTCTATTACAAGTCATATTAGAATCTCTCCAGGAGATTCAAAATACCTACTTATAGAAGACAAAAAATAGAAATACAGAAAGCAGACTATGAACATTTTCCTGTAATTCCAACAATTTGGTTTTACTTCATTATTTTTGAGAATGTTATTTTATAAAAATGCTTACACAATTTTTTCTCATCATCAAAACTTGGCCACCTTGCCGAAATCTAGACTTTCCTCTCGGAAAGTCTTAGTGCTCGGTTGAGTACTAAGAAATACTGGATCAAAAATAATCCATCAAATGAGTCCTTCAGCTGGTTTTCATTATTAAAGAACAAAAGTGCAACGATCTTGCTATGTACACAAGTTATGTTATTCCTAGAAAGTAGTTTTCTAGAAACAAAGAACAGAGGATTCAAATTTCAGTGAACCCTGGAAAACTATACATCTAAAGCATGCAAGATGGGACAAGAATGACCTGAAATCATCAAATTCAGTGTAACTGAACTACAAAAGAAGTTTAAATTATTTTGTAACTACAGGTAAATCTTGACAAGTCTTGACTGATGGCAAATCAAGATGCAAAAGGCAGGATTTCTAAATCTTCTATATGTATTTAGAAACTTGAGCCCTTTTCTAGAAAATCCTCATAAGACTGCAGTCTTTGCTACAGCTTTAAAAAGCTGTAATGTTATCTTCAGAGTTATTTCCTCTCATTCCTTTACCACTATTGGAATCTTACTACTTGCAGAATAAAATCCAAACTCAAAACATGAGCTTTCCTACAGACTGGCACTACTCCCACTGCTCAAATGCAGCTGAAAACTCTGTCGTGAGACACATCACTTATGCTCCCATGTCTAGCTTCACCCATTGTGTGTCTCATCTTAGAAAATCCTCTTCCTAGAGGATGGAGGTGCAGATGCAGGAGGTGCAGATGCATAGTAGAACATTTGGTCAGTCTGTGGGAATCCCTGGTTTGATAGGCAGCATGACAAACTGACCAAACCATACTACCCACTGTAACTTTAAGGTTAGCTCAAATGCTTCTGCCTTGATGAAGTCTTCCATAGCTGTTGCTTTGTGCTCCCCCAGCACTACACTGACCTCTCTATTAAGTCATTTCTACAAAAGCTACTGTAACTGGGTGTCTCAGAGGACAGACATTTACCTTTTCAGGAAGAAGATATAATCAGAACTTACAGTCACAAACCATTTTCGGAAGGTCAGGTATGATGGCATATGCCTTCAATCCCAGCACTTGGGTGACAGAGGCAGGTGGATCTCTGTGAGATGGAGGCCAGCCTGGTCTATGTAGAAAGTTCCAAGCCAGCTATGACTACAGGAAGATCCTGTCTCAAACAAAAAACAAGAGAAACCACTTTTGGAATAAACACATATAAATTAAGACCTCAAATCTGTTAATTCCAAATTATCAGTCACTGAAGTTAGTTTTCAAAGAACTATTACAAAAAAATTCCTATTCTTCTCAAAATGTGCGATTGTAATATTAGCAGCTGGCTTTGTACATTTTTTTAAAAACAGAGAATTTCCTAATAAAGCTGTTAAAATAGCATGACTTTAGAACAGTTATGGGCAATAAACCTGTATTCACTTGCAACTTCTAGCATCATGAATTGTTTATTTCAAAAATAAAAACACAGGTGGGGGATATAGGAGAGAATTTATTGTACAGTAGAAGCAGCAGGGATTCCAGCAAGCGTGTTTCCACTCTATTTCCCAGTCAGAGCACAAACCACTGGATATCCTCATCAATGCCAAGCAATAAAAAAGCAACCTCCACAAAGATACCACGTTAAAATCTCTTTCTCTTGATAATTTCTGGTTTCCAGCTGACAGGATGAGTTTCTTCTGTCTAAAAACAGGAAAGTAAATTAGAATAAGTAGCATTAGTTGCTAAATCATATTACTTGGAACTATATATTTAGCAAATCTTTAAAGATTTTAGATATAGCTGACAAACTTTCAACATTATCCAACTCTAATAAAAATGAATGTGTTTACTATAAGTTCGGTTTGGAGTTTTCATCCAAAGTTAGACATCACAGTGACTTCAAAGCTTGTGATTCTAGATTTGATTTCCAAAGCATTATTTGCTATTATTAATGTGCCCTTTTCCCAGGAACTTTAAAACTGAATTAAACACAAAAATCTAGGGGCTTGAGAGACGGCTCAGTGGTTAAGAACACTGCTTTTACCGACACCTGGGTTCTATTACCAGCACTCGCAAGGTGGCTGACAACCGACTGTAACTCCACTTCCAGGGGACCTGACACCGTCTTCGGACCCCTGTGGGCTTTCCATACACGGGGCACTTCACACACACACACACACACACACACACACATGCACACACACACACACAGAGGCAATATACTCATACACACAAAATACAAATAATAAATGTTAAAAATAATAATAGATTCACTGGTATCAATGAAACTAATAATAGACATCTAGGAACAGACCAACATTCAAGATGACAAATCCCTTAGTACAAAGATTACTTTTATTTCCGATAATTGAATGAGCACTGTGGTGCACACCCATAATTTCAACACTTAGGAGATGGAGACAGGAGGATTGCCTTAAGGCCAACTTGGACTACAAAGTGAGTTCCAGGATGGCCAGAAGTACAATATGAGACCTTGTCTCAAAATATAGAAAATAAATGAAATGTGCACAAAACCTCAGAACTTACCGCCGTCTCGTCCTCTCTGTAGACTTTAATGGTTTTATCAGCTTCAGCCGTCAGTAACCGGCTTTCTGACTGATCAAAAGCACAAGCAAATATTCCTGATTCACTGTCCAAGGACCCAGGTTGCACAGCTGCATGAACTCTCTGAAAATTATAGCCAGTTCTCCAGTCCCAAAGGTGCATAGTGCCATTGTCAGCTTAAAGGGAAAGATGTGGTTATATTCGGTACCCTTCAGTAGCTCAGTGTGACACACTTAGGCACCAACCATAAGCCTAGGCATCATGTTAGCAATACAAAGACACACAGCTTTGTCTACTTTCATTTGTGCTTACTTCAGAACATCATCAGATCTTAAGAAGCACCGCAGAATTTGAAATCTAATTCCTCAATACCCAAACCAAACACCAAGGAATTCCTAGCATGGATCCCTCATCTTTGACTTATTACATGGGAACTCAAAGAGGGCTAGGTTATGAAGCATGCTATATGAACCATCAATATGCAGAGACACACTATCAACATTCATATACACCCTCGTCAGCTGAACTCTGCTACAATGCTTAGGTGTGATGGCACAAAAACTTTTCTCATTCATTCAAACAAAATGACACCTTATAAAAATCTTATCTTACCTCCAGATACAAGGACTCCATCAGAATTAACTGTCAATGTGTTGATAATAGCATTATGACCAGAAAGATTTTGAATGAAACTTCCATCAGGGAACTTCCACTGCTTTATGTTATCTGGAGAACCAGATGCAAATGTGTAACTGAAATAAAGATTATAAAGAATCAACGCAATGTAAATCAAGTCAAATAAAATGGTCAGCTTCAAAAGGTACAGCTGCTTCTCCAGGTGCACTCACTGCTCTATACAGCTTCTGTAAAGTACTACTGTCACATCAAGTGCAGAAGTGCCAAGGCGGCTTTTCAATTTTTATTTCTGAAAATGTTTTTGCTTAATCTGGCAACAGGTGTCTCATTTTGCCTTTCAAATTTTTAAATGTATTTAAAATTCTAGACTACTGTTCTATTTACATTTCTTCAGTACTCTACAGTGAATAAGAGCAATAAATGTAGGAACACCTAATTTCACACAACAGGCAAAAGATCATGTGAGAATTTTGGAGAAAGGGAGAGGGAAAGAGACAGGCCACAGGAAACACAGGAAACGAAATGAGAGGAAGGAAAGAAGGGAGTCGGAGGATGAGTACAAGCAGCATCAGATCTGATCTGACGAGCAGTCGCTTGGGAAGCTCTGCTCCGCTTTGTCGACAACTGTGCCTGCCTGCCGTGTTCATGGCTCTTCCCCTCTGGTACAGTCACTTCTTCCTTAAGAATTAAACTATTCTCTCTTTGTATTCTGTTTGTCTCGGACATTACAAGGTACTGTGTATGGCAGTCTATAACGTGAAAAACAAAACCCAGTACCATTTAAACCCAGAACACACCCAGACTTCCTAGTCTGACATGCAGTTTTTGATGGCTTAGCCTTATTTGATATTATTTATCACTATGTAGAGGGCCTTATCTTTATTCTATATGAAGCATGAAGCAAAACAGTAACAAGGAAAATTAAGGAAACGGCTGTCCTAAGTAGCAGAGGCATGGGAATGACAATGACTCAGGTCAAGAGTAGCATACTAATGTTGGTGTGGTGCTACTACACTGGGACAGGCAGAAGGAAGAGAAGATAATTAGCAAAATGCACTTACTGTCGTGGATGTAAAACCACAGCCCTGACTGACTTCTTATGGTTGGTTAGTGTCACTCTTGTCTTGCCGGCCACCAGATCCCATAATCGGATTGTGGTATCATGGCTTCCTGTCATGAAAACACATGAAGAAAACAGACCAGGACAGAAATGCAAAAGTTAAATACAATAAACACAGGGTACACCTCCATGCACACATGTGTAGTAGATGTCCTACCCCTCGACCAATCTCTTCAGAATTCCAAAATTGTAGTTTCATTTTACATTTAGTGCTTCTTTAAAACACCTGACTGACTGTCAACAAAGAGAACAAATATATGCTTTTATCCCCCAGTGAAGGGGATGGGAAAAACTAAAATTTTTTATCTTAATATTTTTAGTTAATAAAATAAAGTGAAGGAATTATTTTCCAGTCATAGTAAAGTTCCAGTGCTATAAAAAAATAAGGTTCACACCAGTTCTAAAGATTATTGGTCTCAGGGTATTTTGTCTTCTAACTTTAATTTCTTAGAACAGTAATTATGACACTAGAGAACAACTGATTGTCTCTGACAGCAGTTTTCTAGGCAGGCCTAACAAGATACTGTGTATGACGTTCTATCATATGTAAAATGTACAAGGTAAAAAACTACCGAATGAAATCTTACGGTAATAAATTTCAAACATTCATGGCTCAAAGACAAAATGACACAGACGCACTACCATCGCAACATAGAGCAGGAGTGACAGAGAAGACAGTGTGGTGCGCACAATGCATTCAGCAGGAAGAAGCGTCTATCATACCAGTGATAATCTGTGGCTCTGCAGCTTGACATCTCACTGTAGCAACTGCATTTGTATGTCCAGACAATGTGTGCACACTGGCTTTAGTCCTCACGTCCCAAATCTGTATTGTCAAAGAAAACCCCAAAACAGCTGTTACCACACTGTATTCATGTACGGAATTCTCAAACAATATAAAACAAGGAAGAAAGCCAACAACAGGTGTAGGAAAATGGAACACACGGTGGGAGCGGTGCACAACACAGCAGCCACCACTGTGAAGAGTGGAACACGAGAGTGCTGCCATTCAGGAGCAGTGCACTAACAACAGACACAGGACTGACGGAACAAACACGCCAGTCAAGACACTGAAGGACTAGGTACTGATGAGTGAAGGATTAATGTTCTTTATGAAAAATAATGCTAAGATCAAGTCTGCACATGACAAGATGCAAGTCATCCACAAACACACAGAGCATTATCTGGTTTACCCGTGCAGTTGAATCTCGACTACATGTTACTAGGACGTCGATTGTTGGGTGCAAATCCAAACCATACACTGCACTTAGGTGGCCATGATAGTGCCGTATAACCTAAAGATAAAGCAGGAAAGTTATGACTAAAAATTACAAAATAAACAGTGGAGGCTGGGGACATGCTCAGAAGTAGAGTGCTTGCCCAACATGCATAAAGTCCTGAGTTCAATCCCCAGCACTGTAGTATAAACGAGCTGTTTTAAATCCTTTACTCCAGCTCACCTTATTATACTCAAGGTCCCAGCATTTCACTTGTTTGTCTTCTCCACAAGAGAACAAGTAAGGACTCCTGGTGCTCACAATCACTCCCCGCACTGTGCTGATGTGGCCAGTCAAGGACAGCTTTAATTTGCCACTGGCCAAGTCCCAGATCTGAAATCAAAGAGCATTTTTTTCCTTTATGCTGGCTACCTCGAAGGAAAATTTTGTAACCTCAATGCTACAAAAACATACACACATATAAAAACTCAACTAGTCTCTAAACAAAAAATAATAAATTTAAAAAATAATAAAACGGCACGTTCAAATTGGAAAAAAAAATTGCAAAAGACAAGGTTAATATTCCCAATACATAAAAGAATATTATTGATAACAAAAGTATGAACAGCATGGTATCAAATTCACCAAAGGTAACAGTAACAAACTCAGAAAGCAGCAAAGATATGCAAAAGTTGAACCTCACTATAGTTCTGTATAAACAGCTTAAAAGTTTAGCTATCCACTTCTACTTATCACATGAGCAGATATTTTCTAAGAGCTACATAGTCAGCATGTTGGATCAAGTATCAAATCACTCATTTTAGAAAGTAATAGAGCATTGAATTTTATATGTGCTACCATTAAAAATACTGTTTCTTTATGTGAAAAAAAACAAGATAAAATTATATGATAAGAACGACTTTTAAGCACTGGATAGCTCAGTGGTGGAGGACATGCCTAGCATGTGTGTAAAGTCCTGGTTTTTATCTCCAGTGTCACATAAAAAAGAAAATCTTTTAAGCGATCCTTAAAAAACCCATATTTATATACACAGAAAGAGGTTTCAAAGTAAATACACAGATGTATGAACACTGAAGTAGTTAAAATAAAACTAATGGAAATGTATCTCAGGGTTAGGACTATGCATGGATCCAGGGTCTCTTTCAGTCTGTTTCCCACATTTCTACAGAGAAGCATGCTTTCATTTTGTAATCACAGGGTGAAAAACTCCTTCAGTATCAGTTAAGCAGAATTAGTAGTAGGCAGATAGTTAGCATGTTTAGCAAAAACAACTGCTGGAATGCCACTTTTCCAACAGGCATTTGTTTGAATGGTCAATGATAGAAACAGTATCAATTTCTGCCCTAGGGAGTAAAACTCAACTTAGAAGACAAACACAAAGTCCTGTTTATTTTCCTTCCTCCTTACCTTTATAGTCCTATCAGCAGATCCAGTAACAAACCACTGATTGCCAGGTTCCACTGCAATACATCGAACCCAGCCAAGATGGCCACTGATAACCTGTTCAAGAAAGAGTGGAATGGAGAGACTCATCCATACATGAGTTAAAATATACTCAATCTCAACCGCAAACTGGATTTGAACTGCACCATCTTCAAATAGTAATCTATACAATTACTTGACAATTATATTCTGGAGTGAGAAAAATTAACTTACTTTCAACAAGTGAATAAATCCTGACACTGTGGTACATCTATACAATGGAATAGTATTAACCACAGAAAAAGAAACACAATAGCAATACGTACTACAAGTTATCTCAAAAGCACTGACATGAAGCACATCAGTCTCAAGAAGTACCTTCAATTATATGGCATAGTCAAAAAGACACAGTACATAACATGTGGCACCAGGAGTGGAGAAGTATATGAGTAAACTAGTACAGGGTGTTTGTGACGTCATGTCCTGACTATAGCAGTGGTTATACACATCTATGTAGCTATTAAAAGTCATCAGACCTGTACAACAAAACAAGTTTCTTACTGTACTATCATTTGAAAAGTAATTATGCTGGCTGTACGTTTCCTATCACATATTTTATTTCTGATCTGATGTATTTTGAATCATTTTCATCTCTTACCATAGGAGAGATAATTGGTAGAGCCAAAGAAATTTGTCTTTAACTGTCACAGCAAAAACTTAGCTTTTCTAATTTTGCTTGCTCTCCACACTACTAGCCTTCTACCAATACTATATACTGCATTTTATTTAAAATCAAAACATACGACACCAGTGCAGCTTTATTTGAACTCTCCTTCTCCAGGCTTCTGAACAGGGCTCAGCCCCTCCTACACAGCCCACCTCAGCCCCCACATTCCCGCAGTCCCATGTGCTCTTCAGCCACCGCTGGTGAAAAGCCATAGTGCTCCACATGGCAGTGAAGTGCAGATAGGTCTGCTCACCCTGTAGAGCTTCCATGGTGGGTGCCACTGGGGTTTGGGCATCGTAGGCGCTTTTTTAGCCATCAGTGCAGAGTTCTTGGTATTGCCAGTCTCCATAATCATCTAGACATAGGGCACAATAGCGTTACTAAGGATATATTTAAAGATTCAAGTCAGTTCAAAACTGGAAATTGAGGATTTATGAAATGCTAGTATTTTCCTTAACCGAAGAGGAGGAAACAGTTAAAATACCTTTTCCCAACGAAAAATATGTTTAAATTCTCGTAAGAATTGCATTTCCTGTATATTAAATTTAAAATGAAAGTGAAAAACACACAAGGTCAAGTATTAGAATTTTGAACCAACATCACTGTGGGTGGGTTCAAAACCAAAACCCAAGTAAGCAATTACTAGCTGACTGACTTTGGGAAAAACTTGGTAACCTCTATGTGCTTTTACATATTCATCTTTTAATAGAATAATTAAATACTATTTTAAAATGTATACTAACTGATACAGGTTGAACATCCTTAATTTACAAATCTAAAATCCAAAATGCTCCAATATTCAAGTTAATTTGGATTTCAGATTAACAGTGCTCAACAGATCGTGTATGCCAACTGTGGTTGCACACCAGAACTAGATTTCATAAAACCATATTGCTGAAGACACAACACACCTGGGCTAGAAGATACAGAGAAACTGAAGTGGAAACTTTCTCCCTACTAGCTAGCTTTCACAGTGTTGAAGGTGCTACACAGGCTGTTGGAGGAGACAAAGCATCAATTGTCTTACCCAGCTGCCAACCCTACAAACTTCAATACCAGCTTGCCAGGCAAGAAGTACCCACTTGTGTTACGGGGGTAGCCAACCACTCCCTACTCAAATATGAGGCCCACTCCACAAGAGAGAACCCATGCATGTTACTATAAACCTAGTGAAAAACATATTAATAGACCTTAGTGGTGAACTTACTACTGTTGTTCAGTTACATTCACAAAGCATTAAACTTCCTTTTAAATATGTATCTTTAGACCCATAAACAAATGCCTCAGTTATAAGACACTCGTGGCTGCTCAAGGTGCTTGGAACTAGTGATAGCTGAGGGCTCAGCCCTAAACAAGTTCATTCCCTCTAAGGCCTAGGGAACATCATGGAATGTTAAGAGCCAGAAGACAGGGAGAAGGGCTGAGAGATGCCATCTTCTGGGCACAGCACAGCCACTGAAATCTTGAACTGACAGCAACAGCAGTAACTCAGAGCAAAACAACATGAAGGTGGAAAAGGAATTTATAGGAACAGGGCAAGTTGACAGGAATAAGAAGTGAAAGCAATTAGAATGCATTTTATACAATATATAAAAACGTCAAAGGACAAATTTAATTTTAAAAAAGTACATGCCAACTTGCCATAGACAAAAAAAAATTCTAAAATCTGAAACACTTCTAGTTGGAAGCACTTCAAATAAAGAGCATCCAACCTGTAGAATTTACTGTTAGCATCAATCCATTAACCCCAAAATACACTGAAGCTCATGAAATTCTACCCTGAAGAGGTATAAATTGGGCCTGGTTATATAGCTCAGTTGGTAGACTGCTTGTCTAGTACTCATGAAGTTCTGGGTTTATTTCCAGCCTGCAATCCCAGCAATCAGGATGTGTAGGGAAGCAAGGTCTGAAGTTCTGTATGAGGCCCTACCAAAAAATAAATAAATAAATAAATAAATAAAGAGAGAGAGAGAGAGAGAGAGAGAGAGAGAGAAACTTAAATTACATGCTAAGTAAGAAGAGTCTGAACTAAGGGCTGTTCTGAAATGTGAGAAGACCAGTACCAAATTCCTAACACTCAACTATGTAGCCACTTACACTGAAAGATTTTCATAATACATATTAATACAGGTTCAGATAACACTTTCCATTTTGTGTGTATGTATGTGTCTGTAGTATGAGTCTGTGCATGTGTGTAGAGGCTATTATTAGTATACCACTTTGCCAATAGCTGTAGAAAAGACAAATGGATTTAAAAGAAAATAGGCTGATTCATTGGCATCAGTAAACCAATATAGGTACCTAGGGGCAGACCACTATTGAATATGAAAAACATCTTAATACCATAAAGATGATTTACTTAAAATATTTGCGTGTGGCATGTGCATGTCTGTATACATGAGTGCAGTATATACATGTGAAGGCAAGAGAAGGTGCCCTGATCTATCATTCTCCACCTTATGCCCTTGAGAAAGAGCCGCTCACTAACCCTGAAGCTCACTGGCTTTTAGCCTAAGCTGGCTGGCCACTGGGCCCAGTGATCTCCCTGCCTCCCTCCCCGACTTCACTTCTCAAGTGCTGGGTTACAGGTGCACGGTCACACACAGCTTTACACTGGTGCTGGGAATTCAATCTCTAGTCCTCATGTTTGCAGTTTAAGAGCTCTTAGAGAATGATCCACCCCCCTAGGCCCCACATTCTTCGTATTTTTTATAGTGGATAGTAAATATTGCATTAGCTTCATTAAAATACGCACTCTATACAATGTATACGTACACACAGAAATCAGAGAATTTTGAATTCTAAAGCATATACCAATTTAATAAAACCAATTTTTAAGGCCATGAAATGTTGAGGACTACATAAGGCTGCTATTTATAGTCACAAATCCCAACTGTTGATTTCTTCAACACTTCAGGAAAATAAGGTATCATGTCCCAAGAACCATAAACCTGCTGTTACCTACCCCAGGAACCCCAGGAAACTTACAGAATTCACTGCTTGAGGCTGGGGGCGGTCAGAAGCCCCAGGAAGTCGGTACTCACTTCCAGCTGGTGCAGTACGATTTGCATCCACTCTGAAGGTAAGAAAGATCACCTGATAATTACTTAGCATCTCTAGTCATGTATTCTGCATACATCTTTATTTAAGAATTGTGTAAACCAGCTGCAGAGATAGCTCAGTTGGTAAAGTGCTTGCTGTGCAAGCATGAGGACCTGAGTTCAATTCCCAGAACCTTTGTGAAAAGGAAAAAAAAAAGGGCAGGGGATGTGTTTGTAATCTTAGCCCTGGGAGGACACAGGCCCCAACCAGCAGCTTAGCCTACTTGATACTTGATGAGTTCCAGGTCAGTAAGAGGCCTTGTCTCAAAAAAAAAAGGGGG